GTCCCCTGACAAGAAAAGAGGAGAGAAAAAGAAAAAGCCCCCTTAAACTACCACAACTCAAAGACATGCGACTCTTGCAGCGGCAAAGCCAAAGCCAAAGCCAAAGCCAAAGCCAAACCAACAACTAGAACCGTGTCTTTCTTTCTAGAATCGGCCGAGAGGCGCTATACTGCATCTTCACCTCCCCCCGGCACGGCACGGCACGGCTGAGAATTCCTTCCAGACAGCCACTGCGGTGGGAGGTACCCAGGCCAGGCCAAGCCAAGCCAAGGTCAACGTTTTTGCCCTCTCTCGCTCACGGAGACAGCTCGCTTATACGGGGGCGTTTTGATGGCCTCTCTATGATCCATCTGATCTGATCCATCTGTTATTAAATTAGTTAGTTAGTTGCTTGCTGCACACCTACCCACCTAGGTATGTGCTGTAGTTAGCTCTGTCTCATGCTGTAGAAAAGCTCCGAGAGAGACAAACGAGGTAATTCCCGTGATGCTAAACTTGACATGTCGAATGTGCTATGCAGACTAAGACGGAGTCATGTGATCGTCAGGGCCATTGCGGAGAGCGGTATAGTTGAATGTTTGGTTTTGAACTCTATTCAGCACTGAGAGTTCACTATTTCTTGGTTCAAGTGAACAGTCTCGTATAGACTAACATGGACTTTGTTTGGATCATGTGAGGCGAGCCTCGAGTCTTGGGAACGCAGAATAGATATCGCCCTGGCGACCGTAAAATCACCCAATGTTTATATCTTTCTGGTATGGCACCCCTCTGTTGATTTCTTTTCAAGGTCTTCAGTAACAGCCATGCCGTGTCTTAGCATAGCCTTTCAATATAGCAGCTGTGTCCTGAAACCACCGTTGGTCCCTACTCTTCTCTTTCTCGATACATCTTATTATGCTCAGAAGAAAAGAAAGCAGCCAAGAACGCCGATTACCCAAATTCAATGACGCTTCCCCTCATGACTCAGTCTCCTGGCCTTCGATCCACTCGCTCTTGCGCTTCAGTGACCCGTTAGTGGCATCCGCCTGTGCTCCGTTGGTCTCTCCGTTGGGTGCTGTGCTTGAACCGCCGCATCCTCCACGGAAGCCGTTCAGCAAACGCTCTAGGCCGTGGATCCCGAGACCCGCAAAGTCACGCCCGGCCGTCTCCCGCTCTCCGATGGCAATCACGGCGCCGATAAGATCATGGTTGATCTCGTCGTTGACAACGCTGTCATGCTTGTAACTGGGGTGCACGTCAATGAAGTTGCGGATCCATCTGGCTGTTGTGTCAAGATTTCCTGAAGCTCGCTGCGAAATCAGATCGAGATATGTAGACAGATGACATCGAGTCGATACGTCAACGTTGACGCTGTCAAGATAGCTCTCGACAATGGGAATCAAGCCGGGAAATTCTCCCGACTCCGAGCCGTTGATAATATCATTCACTGTCATCTCCTCAAATTCGTGCTCCACTGGGCCTCCAGGTGATGCTGGCCGACTAGGATGTGCTGAGCCTGGTCGGCTTTCGTCACCAAAGGTGGTGTTGGCTCTCGAGGGGCGGCTAGGGAAAGGGTTGCGCCGGAAGTAGAACTTCTCCTTCAGAACAGCATCAACTGCGTGTGCACGCTCCATGTTTTCATCGACCTTCTTGATAGGAATGTAAAAGTTGAGGTCAAATGACAGGATTGCACGTGTGACCAAGACCATAAAGACAGAGAAAGCCGCGTTCTCGAAATCCGTGATCTGAATCTCCATGGAGCGGAACTCGACTCGCCAGCCGATACTGTTATCAGCAGGCGGGGGCTTGAAACGCATGTGCTGCCAGTTAGTTGACTGAATGTTCTCAAAGTGGTCAGTCTTGCTGAGGTCCAACTCTTGGAGGTCCTCCTCAAAGACAACGATGGGGTCTCGGATGAAAAGGTGAGCGAAGTGAGTGGCCAGTCGATCATCCATGCCTCCTTCGAGAAGCTGACGCTTGATGTCAGAGTCGTAGACCAGGTCAGGATCGAGGTACTCGTTCCTCAACCGAGGGTCTATGGCAATATATGTTGAGTTGGAGGCGTATCGTGACTTTGGTATCCTTCGGACGCCTTCTGTGAGGGGCTGTTCCCTTGTGAGCAGTGCTGATCGACTTGGAGAGCATGAGAGTGCCCTTACCTTTTCTCCCAACTCCTCGGGGGTTCTGCAGTCCACGGAGCGGCTGATCTGATTCCACCGCACGTCGGTGTTGGCAAGGAACCCCTTATACACAGGCGTAGCAGCAGTCAATGCGAGCATGATAGGACCAAGCGGGCTCAGCTGATCATAGAGCATTCTTCCTTCGGTGATGTTCTTGGCCTGGAAAGTGATCTGGAGACAACAACTACCCATTCCGAAAGCCATGGCATCCATATGTATGAAGTCGTCAGGGGCAGCTCCATTTCGTACATCATCGTCTTCGGGCCAGTCATGCTTCTCAAAGTCCACGGTAGGATCCTTCCAGGGTCTTGGTGTGTTCTTGTCGTGATAGATGGGAACATTGACCTGAACCTTGCGGCCCCGTCGAGATCGTATGTTTGCGGCTAGAGTTGGGAATCTGATATGGGGGTTGGCGATCTCATCCGGGACAAACTGAGAGCGGAGGCGCGGTCCTGAGGGCGGAAAGTAGGGATCGGTGAATTGTCCGGGAACGCCGATTTGAGGGTATGTCGTGAGTGTGATGGGATATTCAGTTGAAAGCATGTGCTCTTTGGCGATCTTTCTCCGCAACTTCATGTCTGGTTCCACGTCGAGTAGCTCCCTGAAGCCGATGCCCCAAGGCTTTCCTGGGGTCGCTTCCAGCATGAAGCGTCCAAACTCAGGGTGAAAGACGGGGATCGTCCTCTCTCTATTTCAGGGTCAGCAGATGATGGAAAAGTCTAGGGACTGCCTGATGTACTTTTTCTTCGCGCTTGCTGTGTCCACGTCTTGAAGATCTGGGACACAACCACCTTGCTTTTCCAGTTCCTTATCAGTAGCCAACGCCTCAAGAATCTCTGCTTGACGAAGAGACAACAGCACTCGCTGGTTATCCTCTGAGTAAACTACCACAAGATACTCGACCTGGATAAGATGTCAGTTGAGATGATTCAGGATTGTATGGTTGAACCAACCTCGTCGCCCCAGAGGAGAGCATCGCGCTCCTTTCCTTTGGCCTTGTTCCATATCTCTAGAAGTTGCTATAGAGATTTAGCGATAGATCGCCACTTATACCGCACAATTGAATATGGAGGGGTGAGAAAGAAACTCACCTTGATACCCCATTCTCTGACTTGAGGAGCGCGCTTCTTAGCATCGGGCCAATCGAGGGCTGTTCCCAAGGCTCTAAAGTCAGGTCAGCTTATAAGGCCTTATGAATTATGAGTTGTGGCTTACAGGAGGCCCATCGTGAGACAATGCCTGGGTTCTGCTTTGAAGGGGGGTTTCCTGAGCGCGCCCACCTTGCTTTAAGTTGCCGTAAGGTGTGATCGGTATTCGGGAAGATTTTGTTGAAGATGACGGAAACCGGGTATTGAGAATCGGGGTAAAGTGATGAAATATGAGCCTCTCAGCCTAGTTTCTAGGCTGCTCTTACTGAACAGACTGCGCCAGCCGTATGGTATATGCCGATAGTGAGTTTTTTTCTGAGGAGGAGAGTATCAAGAGAACAAACTCTTTGATAAAGCGAAACCGGGGGTTGGTGGACGCTAGGCGTAAAGGTTCTTGTTCTCCACGATATCGGAGTTGGCGCGGAGTTTGGCTTTTTCAGGGATAACAACAACAACAAGGAAACCCTGTTCAATCAAAAATTGATACGATAGATAGAGCCACGCTCTAGTCGGTCGATAAATCAGTAAGCAGACCGAGGTTCCAGATAGTTAGACTGGTTGAGCGACGACCCGAAGCCTCACCACTAAAAAAACAGTCTTGGACGTCAAACACAGACAGAGACAGCAAAAAAAGAAGTAAACGGCCCGTGTCGATCAGTGGTCCAGGGCAAGTTTTAGTAGAGTCGGATAGTTGATGGGGGAGTAATAGAAGAGGGAAATTTAAACTTGTAGAGTGAGGTACTTGGGTAGGTAGTACTCTGGTAGGTGGATAATGAACAAAGTATTCGTACAAAGTATTTTTTTTTTTTTTTTTTTTTTTTTTTGGAGGGGGAGCCGAGATTCAGGTACAATTCCGCGGGTTCGCCCGTCGTCAAAGTAAAGAAGAAGAGAAGCGCCGAAGAGTATCAACTAGCCCACCTCAGACTATGAATGATACGGGTTTGATATGACAGATATGACAGATATGGTTGGGTAGTGGCTTGACTTGGCTTGTCTTTCTTGTGGGAGACAACTGAGATGTTTAGGTATCGTCTACATATTCCCCCCCCCCGCCCCCCCCCCGATTACCATTTTCTATTTCATCATCTCTCCCTTGTCCCTCCTCGTTAAACTCGTCGGCTTGTGATGGTTGTTGCGTTGTGTTGTGTCGCCAAGAAGCGGGTATTTCTGCTTAGAAATCGAGTCCCAGACATCAAATCAGACGAGGCCCTGATGATGCCATCCGGCCAATCTCCCGATCCGGTCAGGTTCTGGAAAACTCATCGCGCTAGCTCCAAGAGGAGAAGTGTACGACGGGCTGTCAGTCCGGCATTGTGCGTATCAACCATATAGGGTAGCTAGGCATAGAGTAGACGGGAAAGCATTAACTAATATTATTTTATGTACTGATTAGGTATTAGCTATGTCGTTGTCCTAGTTGATCTCGTCGTACAATGAACCTATATGTTGCTGAGCATCTTTTGTAAAGAGCCTCAATCCATACAGGTCAGCCCTACCGAGTCTCCAGACTGACCATGCGGTTCCCACACGATGCCTAGAGCTCCGTGTAACCGTACAACGGTATAGCCGATAACCGCTTGCTTACAATAGCATTGTTTAGTTAATTACTAAATGAAACAACGATTGATCGAGTATCTTGATCCTTGTACTACCTTAGTACCTGAGGTGCCTACTAATGTTGAGGGCCAATATTACTCTCAAATGACCAGTCCCTACTCCGTAGTTCAACGAGTTATTCAACCACTGCAGAATTGCACCAATCTTCATGCTCGAGAACAGAAAAAAGACGTTGCCTTGAATCCCCCAACATCGTTCCAGAACAAACAAACAATGAACCTCTGAAACTCTCGTGCACCTGATTGGACTCTCCATCTTCAGTAGTATCCATATTGTTCCAAGAACAAGCACATCCGACTTATCCCCGTGGGTTTCCATGATTTCAACGGGTCTGACTAAACTACCTACCAGTAAAACCGAGGCCTCGATATTGAAAAGCCGCGAGATCAACACTCCAATGACATAGACTACCGGGCCCAAACAGAAAAGAACGGGTAAAGGGAAATCACTGTCCAACACCAGTGACAACCATTGTCACAGCTGAAACCCAGCCCGGTCTAGAGCACTGTAAGTTGTCGCTTTCGCCTCTTTCCAACGTCGCTAGTATTGCAGCCAACTCAGAACGAGCCCGTCCGTCTTTGAGTCATGCGGCACTAGCTTTAACCAACAGGGTGCAACCGGCACGCGGAAGGATGCTGCATGATGGTGAGTGACTGTGGATGCTAATTGACTACCAAAGCTGGCACACCATGATACAACACTGTTCTTGAACACAGCAGAAGGAATAGTTATGTTGTGAATCGAACATTTCTCCAAGGTGTTGGTCAGCATGTCTCGGATCTCTCCAATGATCCAGACAAAGGCATATACATAAAGCAATAACGGGAATGAAGGATTCCGGGATCCAGTGGCTAGATTGCCTATGTTAGAAATCTCAATGCTCGTCCCAACAAGAAAGAGGCAGCTATAAGGCAGCTCCCTACAAACATCAAGTCTCGACGCACACCGAGACGCAAGACGTATGCTATCTCAACTTTCATTTGATAATTGAGCCAAGGAGACGAATGACTTATCAGGCCAAACATCAGCAATTCGATCAGTGCCATCTGCAGTGATTGAATCGATCAACTGCCGACAGGAAGCATCAGTTCTGGTTTCAGCTTTGACGCCAAGCCAAATCTTCGTCAACGAGCCAGCCACTGCTGCCCTCTTCAAAAGGGGAGATTCTCGTGATGAGCAGACTTTCAACTGTAAATAGCACCTCTGCATTAATTAGTACCGAGGGCCGGCTTGTGGGGTCCGTCAAGCTTCCGCTTTGCGCCAACATAACGAACTCCATCCAAGAACGATGATCAGCAGCCGGCGTCTCTCCAAGCTTCAAAAGCCAGAACTAAGAAGCGCCATCTGTATCATTCGTGGTTTGCTCAAGTAATCATCACCATTGCATTTTCAACAACAGTCCTTTGGTCGAGGAACAACAAGCGTGGGTTCGATACACACAATAAACACGCCAGAAGTAGCTGAAACTTGGAGAACCCTCGACAGCAACGACATGGTCAAGATAGTCGTATCGATCCCGATAGGAGGAGGGACACAGTGCAATACAACCCGGAGATGGAATGCCGGTAATGGTGTTTGTGGTGCCGCAGTATGTTGGCTTCCGTTCCTAGCTCAATGGATGGCTGATGACGCTAGAAAGAATGCCATGTGAGCCATGCAGGGTTTTCTAAAATACTAAGTTTTTTTATGTACTTTTAGTATACTAATACTATATTAGTATTTTAATACTAATACTTTAAAAAAATTAGTATTAGTATACTATTAGTACCTTTTTTTTAGTATTTTTTTACTTAGTATTTTTTACTTAATATTTTATATACTAAATAAAATTTAATATTAATATACTAATACTAACTATATTTTAGTTTTAGTATACTAATACTAAAGAAAAAAACTTTAGTATTAATATAACTAATATTAAAAAAAATTAATATTAATATATTAAGACTAACTAAAAATACTAAAGAAAATTAAATATATATATAAAGGTTTTAAAATAAAATATATTTAAAATTAAAATTAAAAATAAATAATATATATATTATATATATATAAATATTATAATTTAAATAAAATATCTATATTATTATATTCCTTTAAAATTTCTTTTTTTTTTTAAATATTATATTTCTTTTTTAAAAATATAATATTTTTAATATAGTTTTTTTTTAATTTTTAATAAAATTATTTAAAATCCTTTTTTTTTCTTTTAATATTCTTTCCTTTTTAACTTTTTATAAACTCTTTTAAAATCCTTTCTTTTTCTTTTTCTTTTTCTTTTTCTTTTCTTTTCTTTTTCTTTTCTTTTCTTTTCTTTTCTTTTTTCTTTTAATATTATATTTTTTTTAAGTATAATATTTTTAATATATTTCTTTTTTTATATTTCTTTTTCTTTTTCCTTTAATATAATATCTTCTTCTTCTAAAGATATAATATTATTTTCTTCTTCTTTTTCTGCTTTATATTCCTCTTCTATTTCTTTAATAGATTTATTCCAGCTTTTTAATAATATAAGCTTTTTAACTACTTCAGAATTAAGCCTATTTCTATTTTTAGTAATAATATTATTACTAATAGAAAAAGTAGACTCTATAGCGGCTAAAGTAGTAGGAATAGCTAAATATCTTCTAGCTAAAATAGCTAAAATAGGAAATTCAGTACTATGTCTTTCCTAATAGCTTAAAGGATTTTCCTATATAATAATTAGTATAATAATAAATATATATATAAAAAAAAAACTTACCTTTCTTTCTAATACCCTTTCTGTTAAATATATAGAATATTCTTTAGAAGTTTTTATAGCTTTATTATATAAATCACTCTCAAAATCTGAATTATTTTCAGAAATAGGAGAGCTATTTAATTTTTCTAAATTAATAGAATTATTATTATCGTTTTGAATACTAAAAAAAATATTAGAAAAATTCCTTTAATTATAATTATTAAAAAAAATAACTTATATATAATATTTAGCTTTAAATAGGTCTAATATATTATTTTTAATATTTTTATAATAATATAAAATACCTCCTTCCTTAAAATGTATTAATTTAAACCTAGGGTCTAAAATAATACTAAAAAGATAAAGTTTATAATCTTTTAAATCTCCTTTTTTAAGCTTTTTAGGAAAGTATTTTTCTAGCTTAATAATACTGCTATTAGCAGTATTACTTAAGTAAGTATAAAACTGATTCTATTTAAATAAATTAGTATAAGTTTTTAAATAACTTAAAATAAAAAAATAATATAAAACTTACTGTAATATTGTTATTTCCTTGGCTTAAAGTATTATATCTAGCTTTAATTTCTTTTAGTTTATTAAATATTTTATAAATAAATAATAAACTTAGATTTAAAGTAGTATATACTTGGCTTTGTAATTTAATAGAAGGAGTTAAAAAAATAGAAAAAAGATCTTTTAATTCTGAAATTAAAGGAAAATCTTTTTCTATACTTATTAA